AATTGTTAGAAGAAAGGTTTATTGTATTGCGTTTCCGGAATATTGTCAGATTGCCCAGGCTTAGATAGGAGAACGATTAGGGTTCTCAACCAAAGGCTTTGGTTCAAAAACATTACCGCAAGGCGGTGGGGTTTTGGCACTGGACTACAGAGAACTTGGTTTCTTGACCAAGGAGCCACCCTCACTCCAACACCCAACCTGGAGGGCCAGGAGACTGAGTTTGTTTGGCATCTAACCACTGACTAATCAGATATAAGTGGCTCTGAAGGTGCCAAAAAGCACCACCCAGCATAGCTCAATAGATCACTGAGGCACACAAACCATCGCACCACGTTAAGGTCCAGTCTCGTCGCGATGAACCTTACACGGACAAACTAGTTCTACACGGCTCCACAAGTCTGCTGTTATTGGTACTTTGAGTTTTAGAATCAATGCAGCTGCTTTGTTCAGCTACCTCCTCGACTAATTCCGGTGATCTGTAGGTGACGACGCAAACCATTGATATTGCACCCCGCTACTGAATCAGTGCTCTGCGGTTCTGTAGTGCGAAACATTCCATATTTTATAGTTCTGCGTATATTTTTGTGGTTCGCTTGCGCAGAGGCTGACTTTAAGCGCACAAGTGATATATCGTCCGTATGTTCAGTCTTTCTTCGTCTCACTCGGCGGAACTATTATGAGTGAATCAGCATGTCAGCAACGTACCGGTATGTTGTGCTAATGCTTCACTGTCATAAAACCGCAACCCGTTGGACGTGGGTTGAGATAGTACCAAGACGTCGAAACCCATACATTGGCAACAGAGACTCAGCTCCGGAGTACAAAGGTTTCGAACAATGCACTTGAACCACTACACCCGTAAGTCTCCGGTTGACCACAATGTTCTTTTTCTACTTGCCGCTATTCCTCATCCCCCCAAGATCATCAAGACTACATGGCAACGAGATATCAGTTCAGATTGCTGGTGTACCATTGTTGTTGATAATGAGAGTAAGCTATAATCAGCACACGAACGCCTGCCAACGCTGCATCTCCACTCAGCCCTCAAATGGACGAACCTGAAAGGACAGTCACGTCGTCGAAAAGGTGGCGCTAAACCGAACAATGTTCGCTCTTCTGTTTTTTCGTCGACTCAAGGGAAAGCTTGCAAGTTGCACGCATCTCTGGTCTTCCGGCTCGTCATTCGCAGATATGCTGTCACAGCCAGTTGCAATCACATACGTCATAGACCACCATCAAATCAACGATGATCACCGTTGCGTCTTTTTTATGCACTTATTACCAGCACTTGATGTGTCGTGTAAATATTTCTTTCACTCCCAATGGAGCGGATGCTAGTCTAACATCCCCTGATTCCATTGTGTTGTGGACAAGTAATCAACATGGCACATCCCGCGGTCAGTCTTGAAAAACTTCCTTTTGTTGCTGTTTGATGACCGTCAACCCAAGGTCACCTTTTCATTCCTGCGTATGCGGCTGAGTAACACTGGTGCATCACCGCCATCTCTCGGCAGTGCTAGAGAGAAGTCTCTGGGACAGAGCACTGATACATTTACTCAGTATAAACGGGGACCATCTTTTTTGACTGATGCGGTCGCTACGTCAGTGTCCCTGGAAGATTGATACAATACACGAGCGAAACAGTAGGCCAGCTGAATTGCCTCTATAGCCTTCTTTTCTAATGCTGTTGCGGGCCTTTTTAAAAATGCATGTGATTTCAATAACACTCTTTCTTGGACTTCGCTTTTTAACCGTCATGAGAGAACTGCGTCACCGACCCTCTCCATCTGGCGGCGACCAACGTTTCTGATATATCCCGTGAAATTTAGTCAGGCGCCGTTTCAGGATATTGCGGATTACTTAAGGTGAACTACCTGTAGAACAGTCTTCCTTGTTTCGAGTAAGCTAATATGAACTTAACTAATTCATCCATTACGATGCTGAACTGATCTAAGTCGCAGGCGGGTTGATGTGACACTCAACTGGTCCTTCTGACCCATTATCCATCATTAACGGCTTCAGGCCGATTCTGCTTTGCGTTGATAAATCACGGACCCCGGCTTCTGGTGACGAGGAAGGGGGCGTCAAACCTGGATGTTGTGGTAACCGCTATTACACCAAACGAGTAACCATGGTCTGAATCTGTGTGCTTGTATCAGCTCAACATATGTCATCTGTGTCTAATGACCCTATGATCAGTTTGAGTTGTCACCGGTACACGGTTCAAGAGATCCTGTACCACTATCGATGCGATTGAGTAGTACCACCGAAACAGCATCTTGGCTATGGTTCTCTCCGCGATGGCCTACTCACTTGGACGTCTTTGTCACCATCAACGATGGTACTACCCATGTTCTCGGCCATACCGACGCGAGTCGACCATTGTGGGTAAAACTGGTCTTTACCTACTTCGAAATGCTTTCAGTGAGAGGATACACCACGCATTAAAAAGGCGTCTTTCCTTCCGTAGCTACACTTTTTACCTTCATGGTTATTGGAAATCCAACCACACTTATATCTAATCGAATGGAGTATACAGAACAATCTTCTACTACTTTGTCAACTTCGAGTCATAGTCTCGCCGTCGCCGGAAACGCGGATAGCTTTACATTCATCACGAAAATCAGAAACATAGTCACCTATCGATTAGGAAACCACTGTCTTTTATACGTTTTCCAAATATATAGCTTACGTGTTCCAAGATAATATTGGTCAGGAATAAGAGTCACTTGTTATTCTTTCTGTCATCTAATGCGGGCTCTCAAAATCCCTGTATGAAATGCGACCTCTTACTCAACAAATCAATCAGACAGACTGTCGACGCATTTAGCAAAAGAACACGAGGCCATAGGTGAACAATTGTTTTCGATGATTCTCTTCAGACCAGTACAATCATATTTAAGAGTAAAATAATGAACTGAAATCGACTCACTGGGTCAAGTTACATAGTTAATTAACAGATCAGTGAGAGAGGCTAAAAGTTGATCATTGATCTGACTGGTCGATTGCATGTTATCGAGCTTGGTTGGTGGCAATCGACCTCAGTATCGTTCGTTCTAGCTGGCCAGGGAAGCTGTAAGACATGGAGCAACTTCTTTTGCGAGCATAATGAAGGTTGAAACAACCGAATGCAAATCGATTTAGCTGTCGCGAGCGCACGGAGGCGCAAACCTCTTGATTGATGATGGGGACCCTGTAAATTATCCTGAAGGCACGCTTTAGATCGACTTGGTGCCCCGTGTCGACCATAGGGGCCAAAACGGCGCTGCTAATGGCCTCAGTTCCTCCTTGACGCAACCAGCGCGGGCAGTGCTCCTTCACGCGTTTGGACAAGTGTCGTGCCGTTCGACCAATATAAGTAGCGTCACAAACGCACTTGAACTGATAAATAACCATAGATGAGGTCAGCAATGGCAGTGTATCCTTATTGCGTGAACAAACAAGTGGTTCAGTAGAAAATGTGCACTTTAACCTGGTTGCTGGGAATGTCGACATAACTACCGCTGAAAGACTTTTGGTTAGGCGCTGAACAGCGGCATCCCCCTTAAAAGGTATTCTTAAAGATAACTCTTTCTTCGCCGCGGTTAAAACTGGTACCGGCTTGGGCTTTTCTTCAAAATTCTTTAAAACAAATCTATCAGGATAGTCATTCTCGCGCAGCGAGAACAATATGCAGATCTGCATATTGTTGGTGTGGGACTATTTAGTTTGGTGCAAGCGATTTCAGCAATTGATAAGTCTTTGTGTTCCTGCACCTTCAGAATAGCCCAGAAACCGTGCAGCGCTCCACTTTTACGATGCACACTGTATTGTGCGTTTCTTTGTCCGTCCTCCTCCTCCTGTTTAGCCTACACCTCCAACCGCGGTGTCATTTCTTAACATAACATAGCTTTTGCATAGTAGAATTATTTTGCGGCACAATAGCCAGCTAATAGCTTTCAGGAACGATGCCCATCCGTTACTGGTAGCTCAGCTGACGTGCATCTGTTGCATGTTTTTTTCTTATGGATTGCGGCACAATAGCTGAGATTTTCCCACCTCTAGCTAACGTGTACTGATGAATGATGATGTACACTGCATTGTGTTTCTCAGTAATCAGCTTCCACATTGGGCGCAGATATTTCTGTCGAGACACACACTGGGGTCATTTTGTTCTGTGTTCGGGTGGAAGTCAACCTGACTTTAGATTCTACGATCCCCTTGATGATCAATAAGTGAATGAATTGTTAACATTTTTATGTAGTTTGAAGGCAGTGTTGAACCGCTATATCGGTCATTTCTACCATGCTTATTTTGGCATTTGTTATAGAATTGAGTAACACTTAATGGCTACTGACCTGCTGATATTTTCTCTATGCGCTGTATAGCCACTAACGGTTCTGCTAGATCATTCCTCAATGAGCTGCCATTCTGGTTCACAAGCCGTTTTGGCCACACTGCTTATTCCACTTCAAAAGCGTTAGTTCTTTTCTGACTTTGTCGATGTTGCTGCGTTAACATCCCAATTGAGTTTAGATGACTGGATTTACACTTTGACACAGCCTACTCGTCAACTTGTTATTCGAACTGTTCGTCTGATTTGGAACAACACTCGGTTGTCCTCGACAGCATTGTCTATCGTTATCATGGGACCTTGGCATTTTTCATTGCATCGGGTACAAATTCTAATATGAGTATCATACACATTCGCTGGCACATGCACTAAGAACTTGCGCTTTCTGTCCACCTTAACCGCTTTCAATTGCTACTCTGAATAAGCGATGCAGATTCGTTAGCCACAGGTGGTTTGTTGACTGATCTACCGTGTTAAAAGCATACACTACATGCGTTAAGTTTTGGAGTAAAGGCTATGTTTGGATCGCGACGCACAATCTTAATGACGAAACGGCTCGTGTAGTTCACTGTTGAAAGCGAGCAACCCCAGAATTGCACACTTGTTTTTTTTGTTCCAACTATCTACCTGGTGTCATATTTAGCGTTACCTTTTTGTTTTTTTACAGCACTGGGCTTAAAATGTATTGACTATGAATATCGGGCAGTTAACATGGTTGCCGAACCTGGTGAGCAAGTAAGTGCTAACTTTAAATCGTATCCGCTGTTTGTTCACCTTTCCCTGCTTTTTCAGTTCAAATGACTGTTCTCCTGTTCCCAGCAAAATTTCGCTGTATTACGTCACTTTGTTTCCGAAAGTTTTACCCGAATGATATCGTTTGAACAGCATTACCTTCAGTCATCAAATCATAGCTACCTACCAACCTACTACAGCTGTCCTCCTGACAGCACGGGCCGGTTCCCTGATAGCTGTTCGTTCATCAGTTTCCACCGGACTGTGTTTCCGCCTGCACTCACGGCGCATATATATATATATATATATATATATATATATATATATATATTTGGCATCGTCCGTATCCGGATTTGCCTGTCACTGTGACCTCTATGAGACAATCATAGGACGCCTACAGAGGGCCATGGGTGGCTTGCGCTGCACCACCCACATACCCTATATCCGGTGTAAACCCGAAGGAATAAGACCGGGAGGCATGTGGATGGGAGCCACGTTTCATCAACGGAGCCGGCCCACACTCCTTCAACAAGCAGAACAGAAGCAGTTCGGTCTAATTGGGAAACCATGCACACCAGACGCACACATGGCGGTGGCTGGACCGTAGCCCGTTCCACTCAGGTTGCATGGAACCACTCTTTGAGTCTAGCGCCGTCACGAGGACCGTGCACTCCGTTCCCTCCAGCGACGATGAACTGTCTGCTGGAGCCATTATGGACGAGGTAATGGGTAATAGACAGGTAGTCCCCTTGTGAACATTCACAGCAAGCGCATCCACACCGGGGTGCTCTATCAACATCTACTTCTGAAATGTAAAATTACTCCACACACCTGCAAACGTATCACATACGCCACCTTATTGGCCTGGGTTAGTAAATTGCATGGGAACATACGCATGGTGCTTCTATTCCGCGTGCAATCGTGCCTTCTCCGGCACCTGAGAAACCGCTCTTTTGAGCAGTCCACCGAATTCGCGTCGATCAAATTTGCCTTGGCTTCGAAACACCTGAAAACAACATGCGTGTCATAAACGCACCTTCTTCATGTTCGGGTAATGTCATTTTTGTTTTGCCCGAATGTCTTATACTATGCGAAGTTAGCCGTACAAAAACGGTATGAATATTCTCGTCGAATTCATTCGGTATACATATATACATAGATTGGCGTCATCCGTGTCCAATAGCAGTTCGAATACAACATATGCACATGTGTTTCCACGGACTTCATTATGAACTGTCACAAACTGGATAGAGACACATTAATCCTCATGAACAATAGTACTACAAAAGTACATGGGTTTCGTCTGGAGGACAGGCTAACAGTTACTTGCACAGGCATGAGAATAAGTACCCCATATGAAAAATGTTGGTGTTCGCCTTTTACGGCCTCCTTGGCATGACAACTACTATGGTACTACATCAACTATGTCCCTCTGGCCACTGTCAAACTTGCGGTTTTCCAAACAGTGTTCGCACTGTTTCGCAAATGTCCAAGACGTAGCATGGCTGTCATCCAAGTACCCAGCCGTTTGTACATACCGTTGTGTATCCTGCTGTGGCTAGAAGCTATTTGGTTACGATCTTCATCGTACGCCTGGTGTGCAGCTATTCGGTGCTCCTAAAGTGAACCAATTTGCGCTATGCGCCGATTCCTTTCCGATGTAATTTACTAAGACACTTACGTACCATTTCCGTTGGCATTACCTTTTTCTTAGTTTACCCAGAAGATTGACTCGTCTACTAAAACGTCTAGTAGGTGCCTCTTACACAGGCGCAATAATGCTACTGCGTTGCACCAAGTCCGCACTTCCTCATTCCAGAAAGCAATTGTACCCAAGCTATAATTCATTAGCGCTGGAATAAGGATGACACACAAAGAAGATGACAGTTTGTGAGTAGGCAACTATGCAGGTTTGTAGCGAAATGGTGCGCTGGAGTCAATTGATTTTCATAAGTTCGGCTAAGATAAGGTTGTCGGATGAAGGACGGGAATTACAGCTCTAATCATTCTAACAGATTTAATGTGAAACCTAACATGACACATCAACATCAGCATGTTAATCGCTAGTCATTTACTTGCCGGGACTGTTCACTTTCCACGGATGTTCCGGAGCGATTTATCTTTGAATGCATGATTTAAGCATTTCGATTCGGATGTCACATCGTGTTGCCGCTGTCCGTGAATCGAAATTGATGACTCGTCGCAATCTTAGTGCGCAGTACAGAGACACTTGACCTGGCTACATTGACATCAGATTGCAACCCGAAATACTACACAATGTCACAGGAGATGAAATGTACTATGATCCATCTGTCAAGTGGGAACGTAACGAGACACGAACAGATGTTAGCGGGATTTGTAATTTAGGCGAGTCCCATTTAGACATCGAGCCATCAGATAATGGTTTTACGCGAGTGAAAATGCCATCAGTCTGTCAGGCTGAAGTGTGGTGTTTATAAGTGTTTGAATTGAATGAAAGAATAACAGCCATATTCCACTAGTTTTAGAAAATCGCACGTAGAATTATAAGTAACCAATACGACTGTTGGTGATTAGTTAGCGTTTGGACGTGAACCTAAACGTCAGGCATACATTTATTCAGAAGTGTGGATATCAACAATAGATTGAGACAGATATGGAAATACGGAAGGAAATGCCATCAGTATGGTTACCAGGTAGAATGATGCACAACTGAATGTAACGTAAAACACAGATGACTTATGGTTCCTGTGTATTGTAGATGCTGTCTTGCTATAAGCTTTAGTAGACGATAATATCATACATTTCCTGATGGCCCCCTTGACGCTATCACATGACCAACATATGTAGTAAATTCCGCTGCTCCCTGTTCTACCATCGGTTTTCGAAAGAGTGTGCAAAATGTTTTAGCAAATTTACAAGAAGTACCTTGCACAACATCTAATTATCTAATATCTCAAATGAGTATGTGGTGGGACACCTGGGCACGATGGTATCTTCACAGCAGGGTTTGGAATGGAAGCACTTAGACATGGTTGGGAAAACAATGAACCAGTAAATCTTCATACCCATGGTGTGATTTGCAATGAAAACATTGAGCATTGCATAGTTAATCATATGAGGGTAGACAAATAATGGGTATCAAGAGCCTCGGCAGATGGCGCAGATAAGGTGCTTAGCTGGACGTATGATATTCCCATGCAACCTGGATTTCTCATCGTAATTTTACCGCTTACAATTTACTAACAAGCTGTCATCATACATCTCGGTTGCAGTTATTCTTCGCAACAAATCAATTGTTTCTGTGCCGGATTTATTTTCCAATTAATTATTTATTTAAACACTACCGTACCACCACAGTTGGACTAACCTACTTTTAAGTCAATCTAGATGATTGGCCATTTCTAATTTAAATGGTAGCATGAACGTTTGCTCTTCCGCACCTTAACTCGATAATAGCTGACTTATCCTAACTTCAGTATGAGCGATGTACAGCGGGAAATATAGCTACACTCATTCTTGTGACTAATATATGAAACAGAACATGTAGCATCAACATCAGCATGTTAATCGCTAGTCAGTGACTTGCCAGGATTATTCAGCTTACACGGACGAGCCAACGTGTGGACACTTCCAACAAAAGTTGTTGGGTCTTGAACACCGAATTTCCACACTGCATTCCAAAGCGAGGAAGGGTTGTAGAGTACTTGGACTCCAGGGATAATTGTTGATCACTACACCCAATTGTTCAATCGAATGTACGAACGAATGTGGAATATTGTAAGCAGCAACCGCTTGGTAACCAGGAGTTAACGCGACCCATGTACGCTAGCGGCGTCACCATTACCGCTGGCTTTTAAGATGGGTATGCTTGAGGATAGGCGACCAATCTAAGGGATTTATTAGTGTGCCTTTGAATCCGTCACACACACACATACAGAGGAGGGCCTATGTGTTGCGGACATTCAAAATGAGCAACACTCACATGGACGCTTGATGACTATTCGAGGTCACTCCCAGTACGAGTGGTACTCTGGCCGGACACTAGGTCTGCGTGGATTGTGAAGCCCTGGTGAGTGAGATTGCAAAGCACTGTCGTACGAGAAGAACGAACGTGTTCCCATGCATTTGAGCTCCGGTCACTGTGTGGATACTGACACCTAGGAAGGAAAAATCCTAGAGTGTATGATAACCTGTATTCATGCGTCATGTAAATATAAATGTCTAGTGTGCCATGAGCTAGGTCCTTTGGGACCACTGCCGAAGCGACGATGGGTCCTGCAGAGAATAACGACGAGCCGGCGCAGCGTTTGTAGGCACGCTGAATTCGATTTACTAACCGCGTGCTTGCATGCTAAGTCTCTTTATTTCAGGTGGTGGGTTTACAGTTTTTACCTTAATGCTTTTCTTTCTCATATAAATATCTCCCTGTACTCTATTCCATTAACTTGCACATATCGCTTTAGCCAGTTGTATTCGATTTCCATAACATTTTTGTGTTCGTGGCATACCGTGAACTATACTTCCTGACCTCGTGCACTTAGCTAGGATTTGTTTGTAAACAACTTATTACGTGTGCTATTTACTTAAGGTTTATGTCAACGTTTCCTTATGCATTAATCGAGTTCTCTTCTCTTTTTCTTTCTCTCTCTCTCAAGTGATTGGCTGTTGTTTGATATCCCTGGTGTGGCTGCGCTTGATGTGCATGTTGACAAGGTGCCTACCTGTCTATTACCCACTACGTCGTCCATACTGTCTCCAGGAGACAGTTGGTCGTTGCTGGAGGGGACGGGGTGCACGGTCCTTGTGGCCGTGTTAGGCTCGAAGAGTGGTTCCATGCACTCAGTATGGAGCGGACTACGGTCCAGCCACCGCCTTGTGTGCGCTTGGTTCCCCAAATACAGGGTGCTTGTGTTTGCCTGTGAAGGAGTGTGGGCCGGCTCCGTTGATGAAACGTGGCTCCCATCCACATGCCTCCCGGTCTTATTCCTTCGGGTTTACACTGGATATGGGGTTTGTGTATG